CATATTACTTAATGCTTAAATTTGATTGGTTAATCAGGGGTCGCCATGGCGATCGGGGTCGCCAATTCGATTTTGCCAATTTATTTATTTATTTAATATTTTTTATAATTGTAGATTACGTCATGTTATGTTACGCTATGAATAATTATAAGCTGCTTTGTGAAAATTGTTGTATTATATTATTACCCGAATTTCGTACTCAAGAAATAATCTGACATAGACAACAATGCATTGGTTCTAAAACTGCTTGAGCCATGTATACATGATTACATTATTACTTTCAACAGCATTTGATCTATAAGGCAGGGTTGGTAAAAGACCTTGAAATGATCTCAAATGACCTTATTGTTATTATAAATTTCAAGTCAAATGACCTTATAATTTGCTATCACTGCCATAAGACACGTGAGCTTCCCTAGTGTCAAGTAATAATTTGTACAGAAGAATACATAAGCAAAACTTGTGGATTCTAATAAAAAGCTAGGTGAATCTAAAGTGTTTTGCTGTTACCAATGTAAAACAAACCTTGATATTAATGGTACTTGCAAATATTCTTCTTCGATATCTTAGAACCTATTCCCTTAAAGGACTTGTTATTACCTAATTTAGGCTTTGCTTAATGTGGAGTTTTATTAACATTAAACCTAACTCATCCCACTTGATTAACAATAGGGGATCTTGATAATTATCATCGTTCTTGCGGTTATTCTTTACCCATTTTTTAATAATTTTTTTGGAATTTTCATTTAAATTTTCAATCCTTGCAAATAAATCAGATTGTAATCAAAATTTATTGAGAGATGCTTGCAAAAGAATAACACCAACTTTTAGGCTTTTGATTAATTTTATAACGAGTGAATATTCTGAACATAAAAGTTAAGACGAGAATATATTTTACGGATCATATTATATTTATTTTAATATAGATAACCTCGTAGAGAATAAACTTGCAAATGTGACTATTATTTTCAGTAGTATGACAAATCAATTCATAGTTCATGATGACGCCATTTTATACGATTTCACAAGATTTGATAAAGATAATTGAAATAAATCTTTTGATCCAAACACGGAATAACAATTATTTGATTGTTTCATTTTTCATTATTATATAATAATATAAAATAACACTGATATTATTGATTAGAGATTATGACATTGTGAAAAAATCATTGACACGTAATAATAATAAATACTATTGGAAGATATTATTTTTTTTTTTATTTTTTTTCCTAAAAAAAATTTAAAATAATTTCCATTTCAAACACGAATAGCGATCTGTTGTAATATCTTTAATAATTACCTAATTTGTTGCAAGAAATAATCTTTTAAACTTGATCATAAAATTCATTATTACTTTGCTACTCTTAAACTCTGGTGATTAGGATCATCAAAAATAATCAAATCTCTTTCGTGTTCCTCGTTATCATCTCCGTGTAAATAAGAATGTGGACTTGTAGGAGCTGTTTGTGATCTTTTTGGTTGTGAACTTTTGAATTTACCCTTATTATGGTTTGCTCCACGTCGCCTTTTTGAAGCCAAAATTAATTGATCTCCAGTATCCAATTTAACGGCTAAACCTATTCTCGCGTCAGATTCATCATAAATTTCTTCTTGAATTAATTCTTCAAGTACATCTTCCAAAGTTACGATCCCAATCGGTACTGGAGGATTCCCTTTAACTACTACTGCCATATGACTTCTTCCTTCTTGAAATGTATTAAGTATATCGAAAAGTGGCGTTTCAGCTTCAACTGGTGGGATCGAATTTATTGGAAATTCTCTCAAGGGTTTTGGATCATCCGGACTAAACATAATCAATGACTGAAAAGGACGTTTGTTAAAGAGAATCACCATAGAAAATTGTTTTCATGTAGTATAGAGACATTACCTTGGCCAGTAATACGCCCAAGATATTATCTCGGGATCCATCAAAAACAGGAATCCGTGAGTGTCCAGTTGTGTAAATGTCTCTCATAGTGATCCTATCCATTATGGTTTCAATAGGTATCATATATGCCTAAAAATGTATGATAAATATTAGACCAATACTAGAAAGGATAATAAAAAATTATTAGGGGCCTACACTTTCAATCGGTGTCATTATTTGTTTAACGACTTTATCTTGTAAATCCAATGCACCTCGTATTATCGTGACGCTATCCTTCATTAAATCACCTCCGCGATCGGTAGACGTTTCATGATACTGAATTAATTCTTTAAGTTCTGTAATATAATAATTTAGAAATTATGAGTTAAAAAAAAAAAATTTTTTTTTTCAATTTTAATATTTACCGGCACGACGATAAATAATTCCATGATTTTCACCAAGAACCCAATCTAATAATTTTGCAATTGGATATGAAATTGGAAACTATAAAAGAGAAGGTTAATAATAGTAATTTGATATGAAAGAATATAATAACTCTTTGATAAGCTTACAGTTAGCCAGATTAAAATTCTAACTGGCCTGATAATAAATAAAATTCAACAAATATGCACAGATATCAAAAATTTTCAAAGTAGAGATATATATATTTGAAAAAAAATTCATACCAGGCAAAGAAAGCACCAACAGCAAGACCATAACGAGAACATACGGATTGAGGAATAATTTCTCCAAACACGACTATAAGTGCAGTGGACACCAAAATAGCAGTTACACCACCCCCACCCAAAACATCATCCATAATAATTGGTAATGTTTCGTTAATTACTACGTTCGCAATTAAAAGTGTTACTAAAAGCAAATGTCCGTTTTTTCTAATTGGCTTTAAAATTAATCAACGCGTTTCATTCGTTAAAATAATAAGCGAAAGAAATTATAAATTTATATAAAATATTCTGCATACTTGAATTCTTGCTGCATATTTCCTATTTTAAAATATATCAATATTAAAAATGAATACTTACAAAAGATCAAGTTAAAGTTTGATAAAATACCTTTGCTTTGGATCACCCGAAGATGCGAGAATATGAAGATTAGTTTCATCTAGACTCATCTAAGTAAAATTAAAAAGGGTTTGTTCATAAGTGGTCAAAATGAGTTGCTTTTTTTACAGAGATTTAATTTACCAATCCAAGAGTTAATCCTATAAAAATATTAATTAATCCCAATATTTTTTTTATAAAAAAATTTTGAATTAAAAAGTTAGATTTTTTAAATAATTACCGGCAAATAATCCACCAGATAAAACCAAAGTTGTAGTTATAGCAACTTTTATCCAAAAATCAAATTCAAATTCGTCACTTAATTTGATATGAACCTTTCGCGTAACAGATAACTTTTGTTCATTATCGTTAACTGGTATTATAAGGGCCTTGGCGACCAAAATCAAACAATTAACCATAATGAGAATTATTTTTGCCATTAGAGTTAATATAATTAGTACCTTTTATCGTTATTTGTATCTATTTATATATTTTTTTTTTGATAGTAACTAAATCAAGAACTAATTTGTTTCACTGCATAATTATTCTACTTAGAACTCTCTTTTGTAAAGATTCGAATAAAGAACAAACTTTTGTTTCGTTTTTTTTTCATGGTCGTAAGCATTAATGGAATTCTCGAATACAAGTACATTTTTGATCAACTGATAATGCATATAGTCGATTATTTCCACTTCAAAGAAAATATATATCTTTTTTTTCACAATTACCGAGTCGAACCGGTTTTTAGACCGGTTTTGGACGATCTGTAAGACGCGTTGATCATTTTAACTAGAATAATTTTCGTTTTGCATTCTTGTTTGCATTGTACAATGTCTGGCGGCGTAATTTCAAATGAAATGACGACAATTTCTCAGATGTTTCTTCAACTTCTTTAGCAACTGAAGATGATTCCAATATAACAACTCGCAAGTCGGATGTATGGGAATTTTTTTTTAAAGTCCAAGATGAAGAAACTGGAGTAACAACAAGTTATAAATGCATATTATGTGCTAAAATTTATTCGCCTGGCAATCCAACAACCACCCTTCGAAAACATTTAACCAAAAAACATTCATTTCATTATAAAAAAACTGAAAATCATCAAATTACTTTGAATGAAACGCGTTTCAAACCCTATTCTTTATCACAAACCAACTCCATCACAAATTCATTGATTGATTTTATTGCAACTGATTTACAACCTTTTTCTATTATTGAAATACTGAATTCAAATTGTTTGTTAATAAGTTGAATCCTCAATTTTATTTTACCATGTAGACAAACTTTAAAAGAAAAATTTGTAAAAAATTATGATACAAAAAGAAATGATTTAATAGGCGAAATTGTACAAATTAATTCAAAAATATCTCTCACAACAGACATATTGACATCAGATCTAAAAGATTGTTATCTTGGAATAACAATTCATTATATTAATAATAATTGGGAATTAAAGAATCTTTTGCTTGATATAATTCCTATAAATGGTTTTCATAGAGCTGAATTAATTACAAGCAAACTTTCACAACTTTTTGAAGAATTCAATATTAGTCAGAATATTCTTGCTATGACAACAGATAATGGAAGCAATATGATAGCATGTAGTAATCAATTAGCAACTGAATTAGATCAAGAATTTAATAATATGTCTTTTATTCATTTTTGATGTACTGCTTACATTATCAACTTGAAAGTAAAAGCTGGAATAAAATATGTAGGAGATGAAATCAAAAAACTTCATCAATTTGTTGTTAAATTAAAAAATTCAGCACTATTATTGGATAAATTATTAGAAATTTATACTATTAGAAAAGTTAAATTTTTAAAGCCAATTTTAGATATAGATACGTATTGGAATTCTACATATTTGATGATTGCTAAGCAAACTTTAATGCAGAATGTTTCTGAATTACTTGTAACAACAAATCCTGAAAATCTTGATAATCTTTTTCCAACAATTTCTGAATAAAGTCATATTAAGATATTTATTATTTAGGCAATTTCTAATTGTATACGTAGTGTACAAACATGGATCACATGATTATATGTTATATCATGTGCAATCATTTTTTATTTTTCAATTAAATCAATGAAATAATGCATTTATAATAAATATGCCTAAATAATATTTTGACACGTTTTCGCGTAATGTTTATACTGCTTACATTTGCTACATTTCTGACTTTTTGAGTCTTCTACATTATTTGAAACACTGTGGTCTTCTATCATATTAACATTATTACTATTTTTAAAACTCGCCTTTCCTTATATAAATTCTTTTCAACACTCGCTTGTAGTCTTTTTGGAGGTCATCCTTTATGCTTGATAACAATAGGATTATTAATATCAGTTAAGTTTTCTGGTTCCAATCTACTCTGTACATCATAAATAAAGGTCTTAAAAATATTTAACAGTTTTTGCTACATATCAGCTTTAATGACATAGTCAATAACCTTCTTCGATAATCTGGATAATTCTGCATACACAGTTTTAGAAGATTTTACAGATGATTGGGATAATTGAGAACCATATGAATCAAACTGAATGGAAAAGAAATGTTGGAAGGTGATATGTTTTTCAAATGGTATGTTATCTTCTGATTGTATCTTATCACATACTGGGATAAAGGATATTTTTGCAAAAGATCATTCGGTTAAACATCAGGATTCAAATATTATTGATTCGGGATCATATTTATGTGAAAGGTGGCAAGTCTAAAGAAGATACAAACACAGAAAAAGTGTCGATATACCAACCCCTTATTAATTAAAAGAAGGCAGATATATAGATGTATACCTTCATTCATGCAGAATTATATAATATCTGATTTCCTGAATACCAGTTGCTCGTACGTTCCATACTTCAAAATTGTATCCACTGGTAAATTCAAGACCAATAATCGGAAAAGAACTTGCCTTATATCCTATTCTTATTTTCTTATTTCCATACTTATTTCTTCATCATCAGTTTCTATCTATAAATGCAAAGATGTTATAACTTAATACAACTTGATTACAATATTAGACACAGCAATTTTTCTACCTAAACTAAACTTCCAACTATAATACTTAACACTACTACACGCCAGCTTCAGAGCAGCGATCCTCAGCTTCTGTTATTTAGATGTCATTAGTTTTCACCAATACTAACTTAACCTTATTTAATTTTCTAACCTCTTAACCTTTCAATTTTATATTCTATATCAAATTTCAAAATAATACTTACTTTCATCAAATAATGTCATTCTGTAATTTGATTAATGTCGTAACTTACTGATTAGTTCATTTATAATCTTTGTTTTCCAAGCATTATAGGAGTTAAAAAATTCTTTAATAATGACATCTACATGACTGAAGAAACTTGTATTCAGCATCGGCAAACTGATTATAAGTAAGGCATTTCGTTCAATTTCAAATTTTTCCAAATGTTCGTCATTCTTAGCGTGATCATTAATATTAATCAACAGATTACATAATGATGTAGAACGATTTTCTTTGTCATGTACATACTTATTTATTAACACGATTCGCTATGTGCTTTATGCACTGGTTGTAAATCGTTTACAAACCCAAGGTACTGCCTACGCATCCTTAGTGCAGTAAAGAGTATCAGACAGATACTTGGCTGCTGTTGGATATTGTTCAACTAGCTGATTCTATTGAAGTTCGAATAGTTATTCGTAAAGAGAATTCTGATGTACATAAAATTTATGACGGAATTCCTCAAACTGATTGCCCAATTTTTCTTTGAGTTTTTTCTGAAAGTTCAGATCTATGTGAAATATGCATAGAGCATTGGAATTAATTCCTTAATCGAATGAATCAAAGAAGGATTTGAGTTAGAAAAGATGATTTGTGAAGAAACATCCATTTCATTAAGTATACTATTGAATATCCATCAGTAAGTATCTAGTGTTTTATCTTCAATGATCGCGCATGCCACAATTCTGGATCTGTAATTATTATTAATTACAGTTATGATATAAAAGATCATCTGAAATCAGGTTGTGTTATAAGTGCTATCTACTATAACAACATCATTGTATTTGCTGTATAACTCTCTTTGTATAAAAGACATCTATAAAAGAGAAATTAATCTTTTTGAAACTAGATCTAACTTAGACTTTATAACCAAAGCAACTCAAAATCCTTCCAATCCATTAATAATTGAAGTATCTGTGAGGCATTACCATCTCCCAGATTATTCTTTTGTCGAAATTGATAAATCGTTTTATACAAATCTTTCTTACAAATAGATTGATTCAGATAGTCATATCTTAATAAAGATATATAGATGTCGAATCCATTCGCTCTTAAATGACATACTTCTTTACATCAGCCAGCATTTCTTTTATCAACTTCTGAAACTGTAGGGCTATTTCTTGGATTATTGAGATAAGTAGGTGATTATGTACATTATTAAATGAGTTGATTCTTATAATACCACTTCTCTTTGGACAGGCTACATTAAGTTTTTAAGGACATAGTATTTGTTAGAAATGAGTATCACATTACTTTATTAGATCTGATATAGCTTGTGAAATATGAGACCCTGATTTTGAGCATTCATAAGTGGCTTTTTGCATCACATCTTAAACAGTTTTGCTGGTTTTAATCTTATAATTAAAACCTCTTTTAACCCAAACTTGTGCATCCAATTCTTGAAATCTTTGTAGTTAGGAAAAGTAAGTTCAAAGACTAATTCTAAAAAATCAGAGAGTTCATCTAGTTCATCAAACTCGTTATCGATGATTGATTGCAGGTTTGTTTCATAAATCTGTTAGGCAGAATTCTCTTTTATTAGATGATTAGATAACAAATGCAAGCAAAACATTAAAGAAACATAATGGAATATAAAGAAAGAAAATATACATAAGTTCTTGTTGAAGTCAAAGCATCATATTGTTTATCATATCTAACATTTCTTATTTTGCTTTATTTATTTTGATTATTTTCAAAGTTTAACAATAAATGATAAAAATAAGAAACATGAGAAAAAAGCAACAATGCAATATGTAATAATAGGAGATTAATCACAATAATTACAATAATGTAAAATTCATGCGAAATTCGTTGAATAATTTATTATACAAATTTTATTTAAACGAATTAAAACTAATTTTGTTAAGCGATTTATAATGAAATTCACTTAAACGAATCTTAATAAAATTTATTATAATTTATTATAATGAATTTCGTTAAAGAATCATTAAACAAAATTACATTATGAATCAGTTAATAAAATTTCATTATGATTTATTTAAACGAAATTTGTTAATGATTCACTTAACAAAAATCATTACAATTCATTATAATGAATTTCGTTAATAATTTGTTATGATTTGTTATAATAAAATTCATTAAAGAATTATTAAACGAAATTCATTAACAATTTGCTTAACAAAATTTTATTACGAATC